AATATTTATATATATTTTTATACATATATATTATTTATGTCTATTTATATTTTTATTATTTCCTTTTCATTGAAAAAAATATTATTCCAGGATTTAATTATTTTGACTGCATGAGAATGCTGTACAAGGAGAATGGCCTGATATGGTGCTGATAAATCTTGTATGTGTTAGTATTTATGCTGGAAAATCTGAAATTAGACTGTGTGAGTCCTTGACAGAGCAACAAAAGATATGTTCTATATCATGTTTTAGCCAGCCTATGAACACCTTGAACTCTCTCAGCCTGAGAAGAGATTCCTTTGTCTTTTTTCCCTGTGAAGATTAGGGAGAGTGAGAATGGTGTGTGATTTGTGCTTTACAAAAGCCTATCCCAAATAAAACATTGCTTTCTGAAGAACCGTTGTGCAATATTACAGTTGTGTCCCTATTGGGAAATGATGTTTATTTTAGCATATTTACAGAATAACTCATTTTATAACTTTTTAGTACATCATCAAAATATTCGGATTTTGGGGTGGGTTTTTTTGCAGTAATTTAAAACATTCAACATGCTTTGCATTTTCCTAATGTTTTTATTTCTCTCTCAGGCGAAAGGTTGAAATTATGCATACCCACAGTCTTTTCACACTCCTTGGAGAAAGATTGATGCTGCATACAAACACAGTGACCGTTACAACGTATAACACTCTCTATGAGGTACAAACTATTAAACATAAAGTTTGTCATCTCTATTATCATTAAGTAAAATTTTTTACATTGTTGTAGCTCTGTGCTTTACAATGTCCTGATTCTCCAGACATTTCTTTCTGAGAAAGTTTCAGAAATTTTAAGGAAGGATTCATTGCTTCATAATGTATTTTGCCATGTTTCAGATATTTTTATTAACAATGTCACAAGTTTTACATATTCTTTATAAAACTTTCCACTTGTAACATTACAAAGAGTGATGGAAGAGATCCTGTTATTTAAGATGTTCATCACTTTTTACACACACACAAAAAAAGTTACTGCAGACCTCCAATTCCTTTTACTACTCCACTGTTTAGAGGAGATTGTTTCCATTCCAGTGGAAAGTCCTGTAGCCAAAGGGATGCCTCTTTCTCTTTTTTCTGTCATTCCTTTCAAGTTTACAAATTATTGAAGAGTGCATTTTTTTTTTCTTGAATTAGTAATGCTGATATTAGACCAAATGATAAAGTGCACACAGCCAATTTTATGTAACAGATACTGCTTGAGGCAAGTGGATATGACCTCGAAGCATTCACGTGTTCTACTGGGCTATTGTAGAAATTTCAGTTTTGATGATGCACAATTTTGTCAAAGCAAAATACTGTGAACATACAGTTGGTCAAAATGCATGTCCTCATGCCTTCAAATGCATAAAGATCATGTCCAGCCTTCAGTTATTTTTAAAACTGTGACTTAGAATTGAATCTTTTGCAATTTCTGAGGATCTTATGGATCAGAAAGACTTTTTTTTTTTTTTTTTTTAAATTTTTTCTTTAGTCACAAGTAGGTGTAATCAGGACTGGTTCCAGAAAAGAGACCGAAATGCTTGGTATTTAGGGGTCTGAGTGATGTAGAAAGCATTCTCCTATGACTGTAAAAACCTAAATGTCATCTGTTTGCCATGGCTTACACAGACATCAGGTTCTGCTTTATTACACATATCTAAGCTTACCCTGTGTGGTTTGACCACTTGAGTCTCACGGTCTAGATGACCCTGCACTCAGACTTCTGAGAGATTACATGATTGGTATTCTCAGATAATACTTAATGCAGTGACATTATGAAAGTCTTCATAGACTCCAGAATCCACAGACATTTACATTTCAAAAATAGGCAGAGGAGGAGAAAAAGGGAGTTAAGTGCCATAAGTACAAAAGATTTGCCAAGGAACTGATGCAGATATTTTCCATGTTCTCTCATAAAAGCAAAGGCATATTTGCATTCTATTTTAAATACCAATAGGTAAAGACCCATTCAGAGATACTGTGTTTACAACTGATAATTAATTGTCTATTGATTGATGAAAGAGCTAAAGTTTTGCTTTAAAATAAAGAATTTCTATTAGTGAAATTATTCTGTTTTGAAATAATTTGCTTTAACATACTTACAGAGAATCCTGTGTTAATATTGTTAAATCTTTAGTTTGTTCTTAAAGTTGCATACATAGAACCAGTTACAGGTATCCCAGTGTGAAAGGTCAATGGTCTTTCCTCAATATATACTAATTAGTTTGTCAGGTACAATTCATATTTTTCTTGCTCATTATGTGATAGCCCAAGTTTATTCCTATAGAGTGCTGTCTATGTTCCTAGCTGGAGAGAACCAAACCCACTTTTAAGAATTATTTGGTTTAGTTATAGGTGGAATGTATGAGAATAACTCTTGATGTACAGAGATCATAAAAGAATTTTTGATCTGTGACTGTGTAACACATGGGGAAAACATATATATATTTGTGACTATATATATTTATTTATTTTTATGTATTTATATGAGGACTATAAATGAAATTATCTTGAAAACACCATTATTGTCTATTTAGTCAGCTAACTAAAAAGTTAGTTAACCAGCAACTGTACAGCCATGAAAACCTTGATTCTTGAATAGAGGAATTGCTTGTTTTTATTCCTCACGAGTTAAAATATTTTACCAAAATGTTTTATATGAAGTTACAGTGTGGGTAGGGTAAATGTTCTTAACGAATTGAGAAATTAGCAAAGTGCTTTAACTTTTAATTAAAATGGTAAAAGGAAATTAATATTCTGTTTTAGATTTTGACAGAACAAGTATGCACTCAAGTTGTTCATAAACCACATCCAGAGCCAGATTCTACAGTGAAAATTCAGAATCCAAGTAAGGACAATATATTGTGTTTGAATGATAAATGTGTTACCTGGAGATTCTGGGCTTTTAAAGAATATGGTTCAAGAAACAAGAGCAATTCATTAGTGTATCTCAAATACACTTTCACTTTCAGTTACTACTTACATTAGTTGCTGTCAGTAACAATTTTTTAAAAAGTTGTTAAAATGTGTTACGTAACTAATTTGTTCTTTCAAAGTGATTCTTAAGGTGGTGGCAACGCTGTTAAAAAACTCCACACCAAGTGCAGAGCTGATGGAAGTTCGACGTTTGTTCTTGTCTGATATGATAAAACTCTTTAGTAATAGCCGTGAAAACAGAAGGTATGTCACTACAAATAGTATTTTCTCATCCTTGGTTTGTGGGTAATAACAACCTGTTATACTCTCTGTAGAGTTTTATACTGTATTTTAAATGGAATATGTAAAAAAAATAAATGGAATGAGGTTGTTGTAACTTCTCTTTGTTCAGCAACTAATATTGGGTTCTTTTCTTTAGAATATACTTTAAATTTTTATTCATTCTGAAGTATTTTTAAATTTCTTCCTATCATTGGATTGATGTTCAGGGGAGACATTCCTATTATTTTAACCATCATAATGTTAAAATAAAGAAGCTTTGTTTGGATATATTTTGACCTAATTATTTCACTTTAGATGTTTACTTCAGTGTTCAGTGTGGCAGGACTGGATGTTTTCTCTGGGATATATTAACCCCAAGAACTCTGAAGAGCAGAAGATCACAGAGATGGTTTACAACATTTTCCGTATTCTCTTGTATCATGCAATAAAATATGAATGGGGAGGCTGGAGAGTGTGGGTGGACACTCTTTCTATAGCTCATTCCAAGGTAAGAAATGACTCGTGAATGGTTTTCTAATACTGGTAACTCCCCCAAAGGGACTAGGAATCTAGTGAGACAAGATGCGAGGTGACTTAGTGCCATCTGGTGGCTCTCTCCATGCATGTCAAGGTGGCACTTTTGTCGTCCTTGTAGGTCCTTTGCTGTGAAACAGTTTGTAAGCTGTATGCAATAGGTTGCTGAGAGTCTTGTTAGTTTTTGTCCAAGTTCATGTAGCATATATTCATCCACATGTTCTGCTCTTTTCTTTTAAGGTCACATATGAGGCTCACAAGGAGTATCTGGCAAAAATGTATGAAGAGTATCAAAGGCAAGAGGAGGAAAACATAAAAAAGGGGAAGAAGGGGAACGTGAGCACCATCTCAGGTCTTTCTTCTCAGACAACAGGAGCAAAAGGTGGAATGGAAATTCGAGAGATAGAAGACCTTTCACAGAGTCAAAGTCCAGAAAGTGAAACAGATTACCCTGTCAGTACAGATACAAGGGACTTGCTCATGGCTACAAAGGTGTCAGATGATGTGCTTGGAAGTGCTGAGAGACCAGGAGGAGGAGTGCATGTGGAAGTTCATGACCTTTTAGTTGATATAAAAGCTGAAAAGGTAGAAGCTACTGAAGTAAAGCTTGATGATATGGATTTATCACCAGAGACACTGGTAACTGGAGAAAATGGTGCACTTGTAGAGGTCGAATCTCTTCTAGATAATGTATATAGCGCTGCTGTTGAGAAGCTCCAAAACAATGTTCATGGAAGTGTGGGTATTATTAAGAAGAATGAGGAAAAAGATAATGGTCCACTAATAACTCTGGCTGATGAGAAAGATGAGCCTTCTAATAACAGTACCTCATTTCTCTTTGATAAAATACCTAGTCAAGAGGAGAAACTTCTCCCTGAACTTTCAAGTAATCACATTTCTATTCCAAATGTGCAAGAGACACAGATGCATCTTGGTGTAAGTGATGATTTGGGATTACTTGCACATATGACAGGTAATGTAGATATAACATGTGCTTCAAGTATAATAGAGGACAAGGAGTTCAAGATTCACACAACCTCAGATGGAATGAGTAGCATTTCTGAGAGGGAGTTGGCCTCATCATCTAAAGGATTAGAATATGCCGAAATGACTGCCACAACTCTTGAGACAGAGTCATCTGGTAGCAAAACTGTCCCTAGTGTTGATGCAGGAAGTATAATATCAGATACTGAAAGGTCTGATGATGGTAAAGAAGCAGGAAAGGAGATACGGAAGATCCAGACAACTACCACAACCCAGGTGAGTTTCAAGTGCTGTAGTGCTGTATGTGTCTGATGTAATCACTGTGCCTTCCTGCTGGATAAATTAATGGAATGAGATCTGAGAGATGTTTGAAGTATATTAATTATATGAAAAGTGTCCATCCCTGAGCCTCTTTGCTTTGAAAATGCAATTATGTATAAGGATTGTGAAGTCTTTCAAGTTTGTATAGAAAATATCAATTGTTTTTGTGGATGCTTTAGTTTAAAAAAAACTTAGGAAAAATAATCTCTCATCCATTTTCCTTAGTTCTAGTGGACAGATTAATTGAAACTCTTAAAATTCTGCTTTAGACTTTCTTGTTCGTATGAGATTAGAAATATCTATCTTTTACTATGAAATACACATTGAAGTGGTTTTTCTTCTTGCTGTACCTTTCTCAGAGTGTAGTGTTACAGTACATTAGTACACTGTCTTTCTTACTGTGTGTGAATGCTGGCATGAATAATCTCCATATTTGAGCCTAATACAAGGAAAAGAATAGTTTAGGGATCATGGAAGAAAAATTGTGACTTGATTTCCAGAGCAGAGATAATTTATAAAAGAATTGTCTACTTCTTTGAGATCATCTATTATCTAAGTCTCCCTCTGAAAAGCTCTGAGAAATCAGTGGTTTTGTGTGAGCCATAGCATTCTGAAAATGGGAAGACCAAGGCAGAAGACTACTCTTTGAAAGAATTTTACTGTACTCGGAGACTGTAGCGTAATCAAAGATGGCTTTTGAGGATGTTATCAGGTGAAAGAATTGACCACCTTCAAGGTTTTAGTAGCTGACTATATGTCCAGTATGTGCAAAGTATTTATCTCCTAGGATTTTAAAGTCCAGCAGGCTTCCTGAAACTCCAGTGAATGGACATTTTAATTTATTTCAACAATCTATGATTTCCAAAACACTTACTTTCCCCTTTTTTTTAAAAAAAAAAAACAATTCATATAAATGATTCCTCAGACCAGCAGGTTCTGACATAAAGTATGCTGTCTTCTAAGTCTCTCTTCTATGGTAAGAAACTCTATTTTGAGAAAAGCAGATGGAGTTCTTGCATTCCCTGCACAGGTATTGTAAGAGAAGTTTGGGATTCTCTTAAAAGTATTTTGTCAAAACTATGAAAATCCTCATCACATCAGTGACTACCAAGCACTATATGGAGATCCTCATATTTTAAAAACTTAAAGAATAAGCCCTGAAAGCTTTTGATAGGAATAGCATACGTGTTCATCAGTTCCCAAACACCTTATTTTATGTGTTAAAATTAAGATTGTTAATACCATGGAAACTGATAAAAGGAATGAGGATAGCAAGAAAAACCAGCAGTCAGTTTTTATTTTAAAAGGTGGATTTTTGTTTAAAGACAAGTGAGATGCTAATATAGATCTGTTGTGCACATATATGCACCCAGTGAATTTGTATCTTTAGTGAAAAGAGATAATCTGACTTCATACTAGCTACTGTAGAAAATCCTGCTTGTGTGACTTTGGGACTTTTCTTTAACCTCTTTTCTTGATGAATTTCACCTGTACAGTTGAATTATGAAAGTTTAAATTCCTCAAGCCTTTAATTATTTGTTAGGGTTAAAATGATACATAAATCTTAATGAACTTTTATCTGATCGTTGTAAAAGAGAAGAAACAAAATGTTTTACTCTTAGCTACTCACAAAATTCCTAACATATCATTTTGATCTGCAAATTAGCTACAAAATCTGTACTTTTCAAGAGTCTGACTCCAAAAGTTTAACTCCCTTGATTTTCCATATAATATTTCAATTACAGTTATTTCCCACTAAAACAAATTATAAACTGCGATGATTTAAGCCTGTAGCCATTAATGTATGTTTTAAGTTATTTTCTTGAAAACAATTAGCAACTGTGTAACCACCAGAACTGTTCTTATCTTCTAATCTCTTCTTCAGATGTTTCAAAATACCCTGTGAACTGTAAACTGTCCATAGTTAAATCTTTTATGTCTAAATGAAGTTAACCTTAATAAAAAAAAGTTGGAAATATGTATTAAATAAAACTTATATCAAGCATTATTCATTTCATGAGTAAAGAGCAATGTTAATGTCTACAGTGGAGCCGGAGGTTGGTGTTTTGATTGCAGCATACATGGGAGCTGCTACATTAGATTTGGTCTCTTTGAGACCACTGAAAACACTGAAAATTACTTAAAGCCTGTGTGCCTATTAAGTGCAGATAGTTGGATTTCATGGTGGGTTTTGCAATGCACTGCAAAGCCCTTTCTTGCCAATGCAATATTATTTGATCCTGTTTTGCTACAGTTATGATACCGTTACTGCTGCTGACTTGCCTGTGGTTGTACCCCAAAAGTATACCCAAAACAAGGTGTATGAGAATGGAGTTGCAAAACTCATTCTCTAAAAGCAGGTTTACAGTCAGCTCCCCACCTTATCAGTGAGAAATAATGGACTGAAAGGAAGCAACAAAGTGCACAACAAAATAGAGATGGTAACCTTTGCTTACTTCTGAGAAGAATTAATACCTTTATCAACAGCAGATCAGATATTGGAGAATATAAAAAAAAACTCTTTCCTGTGGTTCCAACTAGGAAATATCAAAAATAGAATTGAAAGAACTATGCAGAAGATAATTTTTAAAAAAATCATCAAATCCAGTGCCATGTGTATTTTTACATTGCTACCACAAATATTTTGTAAAAGTCTTTATGCTTTTAAATCCACAGATTTAAACGTGTATGCCAGTACCAGGAAATGAATGTGTGAGCAAAGCAGATGTGTTTTCTATTTTACCAGTTTTAAGTTAATCTAAAATAATTTCAAGGGCAAGTCTTTGTATTTCTTCCTTTCAGAGATGTTGCATATTATAAGCAATTTGTTGTTATTAATATTTTCTTCAAACTCAGTCAAAATATTTGTCCTTTACTACATTTTCCTTCACAATATTCTCCATCATGTCCTCTCTCTGTATCTTTTACTTCTGTCTTTAATCACCAAGTGGAAACAGTCTTAACTCTGTAGGTATTGAAAGAGAATGAAATTCACATTCACCACCTGTTGTGAGACGTTAAAGAATGAACAAAGTGTAACAAAATCAGCAAAATGAGATTTGGGAGACTAGACCTGCTTCTGCTGGAAACCCTCCCTGTGTTTTGCCTATGTTTTGATTCAGATATTCAAAGAAAATGATGTTATCATCACAAAAGTATAGCTGTGTCCTATAAGCAAACTTCTGTCAATGCTGGCCTTGTGTGTGCTGCGTTTGGTCTTTTCTGTACTACTTCAAGTGAAGACCCCGAGTTCAAACTGTTGCTGAATAGCTGTAAGGCCCCTCAGTGTGGATTTGTTTGAACTGGAGCGGCTCCTCTACTGAAGGATCCTGCCTGCCTTGGAATACCAATATCTCCTTTAGTTTGCACTTGAGTCTATCCTCTCTCAAATTCTGTGATCCGTTCAAAGATGCATTACAAAAAAAATTCATGTGATTTTTGAACTCCTCATTGATGTAGGCAGTCCAGGGTCGCTCTGTCACCCAGCAGGACCGGGATCTACGGGTTGATTTGGGATTTCGAGGAATGCCCATGACGGAAGAGCAGCGGCGGCAGTTTAGCCCAGGCCCACGCACAACTATGTTTCGTATCCCAGAGTTTAAATGGTCTCCCATGCACCAGCGGCTCCTGACAGACTTGCTTTTTGCACTAGAAACAGATGTACATGTTTGGAGAAGGTAGGTGGTTGTTTCTTCTTTAACTCTTCATTTGTGTTTCCTTCAACAAGGAAAAATTCGATGTGTTGTAGAGGGGATGTAACTGAGATAGGAGGCAGGGAAACAGTTGGTGTTAGCTGAAATGTTAGCCCTTCTGTATTTTTTGTCTTCTCTTTTCCCCCCTTGCCAGCCTATAACAGCTCTATTTCACAGGTAAAAATATCTGTTTTCTTGAGGGAATGTGTAATTCATCCATACCTAACTAAACTGAGCTGTCTTTTCACCTTATGTTTGGCATTAGAATCTGTTGCTTCTGTTTAGGACATGCAGAGGACTTGTGTGTCTGCTAATGGCCATTTTCTTATCAATTAAAAGAGAGCTTTTCTACTTGCAGACTTTATACATAATACCTCTTTCCAGCAGCTTTTTCTTATGAATCACTTTTTCTATTTGACAATTTTTTTAGATTTTTTAAATTATTTTTGCATGCCAGCTCCTGGTTAATATTAGTGGTTACATGATATTTTATGACAGCAATGTAATTTCCTAGGGGGTTTGTACACTGTAACAGAGATACTCAATAACTTATTGTTATCAGAACCCTTAGGTATAATAGTCACTATTTAATATAAATTCCAAGACAGAATAGTTCATTTTTAGAAAACTTGGGCATAGCTATATCCAAATCAATTTATACTGAATTTAATTTCCAGTTTGGTGAATTCTTCTGCGATAGGCACGAGGAAATAGACAGTTTTGGTCATTTTTTTTTTTTTGCAGCATATATGAGAGAGAAGTTTGTACTTTGTGTTTAGGTAACACTTAGTGATTAAAGTCCAGTTTGTATATTTTCAATTGAAGCCTTTAATTTTTGTTTGTTGGCTGGTGACAATGTTGTTTTAGGAAAAGAACATACTTATAGACTGAGTATTCATCAATATTTTCGCACAGTATTTTGTATTTTTGGGGAGTGACTGTTTCATTGGAAAATTTCTCACCAATTAGGAGCTGCTGAAATTTCAGCTAATCTTATTAGCACCTGTTGCCTGCAGAGCTACTGTTAATGCTGAATTTAATATTGGTTACTGAAGTTGACATTAGGTCAAGATGTCACCATCTTATCAAGTTTCTCTTTTAAAACACTAGTAGATGTTATAATTAGGTGTGATCAAAGGTGCTTCAAATGGCACTGGTGCAGTATAGTGAACTCTCAGTTCTACATAATAGCTTTCGTGCTGAGGAAACAACCTCCTTGCTTTCAGCAGAACTGCCTGTGAAATGAAGTACTGGTTAATGTGAAGGTTACAAGACATTTCACTTGCCTGGGTATCTGAAACTGATCTTGTGAAAACAGATATCAATCCATTTGTTCATTAGACTAGTCCTGTTCATATTTTTAAACATTTTACATGCAAAGTTTTGTAGTTAAGATGTTGCCTTTTTATCAAAGAAATATTCATGGTCTGGTTGCAAAGAATAAATTTAGCTAAACTTTTATTTGAACTGTTTCTTTTTAATCCATCCTTTCTTCCTTTCTTGCAGTCACTCCACAAAGTCTGTGATGGACTTTGTCAATAGCAATGAAAATATTATTTTTGTACACAACACAATACACCTCATTTCCCAGATGGTAGACAACATTATTATTGCTTGTGGAGGAATTTTACCATTGTTGTCAGCAGCCACATCCCCAACTGTAAGTACAATATTTCCACCTAGTGGTCATATTAGAAATCGTTGTTAAGACAAAAATTTTTGCAGCTGACTTTCCTTCTTTGGGAACTTCTGTTCACTCTCTGTTAATTTCTTAAAAATATTTAAATTTATAATCAAAACTCTTACGTTTTGGTATACAGAGTGTTCATAATATTTTCCATTTGAAAGGCTAATTGTATTAGAGAAGCAGTACTAAGTAAAAATTATTTCATAGGTATTTAATATTTCATTTGAAAGAGCAGACCATTAGAATCATGGTTACAAATTGTGATCACTGTAACAAAATCACATGCTTTATGATGGATAGTCATTGACGTTCATAAATCTGTTTTGCATGGCCACCATTTGTTTGCATGGCAAATGATATCAGAAGTCATCCCCTCACCACTCTGTTTACTTCTTCCTTCAATAGATTTTTAGTAAGTTGTAAATTCTTAGGTTATCACAGCTCAGTCAGGCAAAGTAGCCTAATAAAATGCTTCATGAAAAAGGGAGAAATATTTTGTAAATATTGTGTTACTGTCAATAGTATTTACAGTATTTGAATGTGAAGTTTTGTTTCTGCATATAATATCTATAACTATTTATTTCATACTAAATGTTTTACCTTGAGCATCCCCCTAAGCATCTCCAGTGAATATTGGTCTTTGAAAGGGGAGAAATGAGGCCCAGAAGGGACAAAGAGGCTCCTCTGAAGTAATGTGACTGGTGGGCACTTGAGGCTATAAATGTAGCTTAGCAGTAGAAGCTCAGTTCCTTGTCCTACCCATTCTGCCGCTGAGATTATTTTACTATGCCTCTACTATTACTTCTAGTTAGCTAGCAAAAAAAGCCTGTTTTGCACGACTTTGTTTGAAAGGTATGAATATTTAGACTAGCAGTTGGCTAAACAGTACTAGTGACTTTAAGCCAGGCAATTAATGGTAAAATGCTGTGTCTTTACCATTTTCACTATGTTAACTGGAAAGATATTTGCTATAAGCAAAACTGCAAAACTCACAGGAAGGTCTTTAGTTGTCCATGGTCAGAAGAATGACATCAAGGTTGTTGAATAAAAGATTTTGCAAGTGCTACATTGTGAATATTGACAAGATGAGAGCATATGTACCAAGCCATCTTGAGATGCAGGCTGTACTATCAGCCTTTAGGATAAAGGGACACTGGGAGATTTTTTTTAAAAAACAAACAAACAAACAAACAAACAAAAAAAAACCAACCACCTTTTACACATAACTTGAAAACAAAGATGTTCTCTTTCCTATCTTTAACATAAAAATACAAAACAGGCACAGCATTAATGTGGTTGCAATTCCATTGAATTTTTTTTGTGGGTTTTTTAGCTCTTGTCCTAGTTTATGATACTGTAGAGCCATTCTATAGAATAATCATTTTGCAGTTTACTATTTCCCTCTATTCTGGTTAAGAAATACATGTGTGTGTGTGTATTGATAGATAGCTGATATAGCTTCATAAATTACACGCCCTGTTGTTAAAACATTGTGGGTTGATGCTGCCTTGCTGCAATAGCAGTGATTTTCATAGGCATTGACCCAAAAGCCTGCATTTTCAAATTTGTATATTATACACACATTTCTCCACTACACAGGGCCTGTGTGTATCACTCGAATGCTCAGATTTGCCATCTGTTTAAGATAATAAAATTAAATTGTGAAATAAACTCATTCACTAAAAGATCAGTAGCTGGTTTCAAATTGAATTAATCCTATTCTGTAAGATTAAAAATAATAAGGCGGGATTACTTTTGTCCTATGTGTACAAGGAGAGTGGGGAGACGTAACTGAAATATTCACAGTTTACCTTCACCTGGAAATAACCGTTGCCATCTTGATGATGATTTCATAATCACTTCCATCTAGCAGAGAGGTTCTTTCCTCCCATTCAACTTTGTTCTTGACCTATGATTGCCTGTCCATAAACATTAGCAGGAAGATGGATTCATTCATCATTGTGACAGATACAAAGATCCCAGCATGTTTCCTCCTTCTTAAAGAAGGTGCTCTCCCTCTCTGTTCACTCTGGATCACAGCTATGAAGGGACCAGATGCCCTCCTGGGCATCAGTCCACTTCTGAGTATCCATCATATGATTAATGCAAAAGTGTTTCATAGAGCTTCTCAGACTTCTAATACTTTCCCATCCTTGAGCTGCCGTGGAGAAAGTGGGCTTAGAAACATATTTCTTCTTAGTCTTGAAAGGGCAAAGTAATTCAGTGCTTGCAATCAGTTACAAAAGACTCTGACTCACTCTCCTCCTTCCATGAGGTGCTAATTGGAAGAGAGATCTGAAGCTGGAAGATTTATATGATGTCTCCACTGCATGAAAAGAACTTAGGGCAGGCCTTTTAGTGACACTTTCTGCCAAAGCAACTCTCAAGGGAGGAAAGAGCCAATACACTTTCTCCCTCATTGGTTCAAAGAATTGCAGAATGGTTGAGGTTGGAAAGGGACCTCTGCGGGTCATCTGGGCCAACCACCCTGCTCAGGCAGGGTCACCTCGAGCCAGTTGCCCAGGACTGTGTCCAGGTGACTTTTAAGTATGTCCAAGGGTGGAAACTCCACCACCTCTCTGAGCAACCTGTGCCAGTGTTCAGTCACCCTCAAAGTGAAAAAATGGTTCTTGATTTCTGGATGGAACCTGCTGTGTTGTAGTTATTTACACCAACGAATGAGTTTTTTCCACCATTTACACAGTCCAAATTTTGTGTTGTATATCATGAATCCCTTCCAACCTCAACCATTCTGTGATTCTGTGTGATCCTGTGATTCTGTAACTTAAACTGGGCACAATGTTAGAAGTCCAGTAAAGCAATACTTCACTTCTTAGCAAAAAAAAGCTTTTTATGTTACATAAACTGCCTCACTGGGTCAGTCCAAGGGTCTGGCTGGCTTAGCATTCTGGTTCCAACATTGACTGGTTGCACCTGACATCAAAATACAGAAGCCTGAGCAAGCATATTCATTGCTCTAATGATATTTCATTTCAGCATTTAGGATTTTAACAGCTAGAGAGGCTGTCATGTTTAATAACTACTGAGAAATTTATCCTTCTAGACTTATCTAATCTTTTTTGAAGCAACTTACACTTTTAGCCTCCATAATATCCTATGGCACTGAGTCTAACAAAATAATGATATAACCTTTGAAACACTTCTCTTTGTTTTGTTTAAGCCTGTTTATATGTATAAGGCCACTATGTGCCTTACTCTTTGTGCTATGAATGGAGCAGTTAATAATTTCTTGAGTCACCTTTGTATCATTAATGACTTTGTAGGCTTGAGTCACATCTCATGGTGTGCCAGTTTGAGTCCGTAGGCTTAATCTTGTTTAATCTGTTCTAAATGTCTGTTAAAAACTCTCTTCTCAACAATATGCTATAAAGTGAGTTATTAACTGTGTCCCATTGGACATATTTATTTTGTTATTTTGTCCCATATTGGACGTCTAAAGGCATATCACCTATTTATCATTAGTAGAATAGATGCTGAAATTAATTAATGCTATATGCAGAAAATAAAAGCTGAATTAGCAAAATGACTTTCAGAATATTGGAGGAATTGTGGGCTTCTTTATTTTCTTTGTGCAACAGATTCTGTGCTGGGTTCTCTCCCTTGCTGAAAAAGAGTACTGTCATCATTTTTTTACAAAGATTAATGTGGGAATTTCCCATTTCAAAATGATTTTTTACTTTGCATAGGTAGGATTTGGAGTGAAATGGCAATTCTTTTGGGCTGGGTGGAAAATTATTCTATCATCCCCTATTGGCTGTTGAACAAGCAATCCTAATTATGGAATTTCCTCACTATTGAATTCTTGTAATAGAAATCTGCCTTTTGTCTTGTTTTTTTTTTTTTTTTTTTAAATCCTAATCCAGACTAGGATGATTATGTTCCAGTGCTGTGAACAGGAGCCTTTAAACATGACTACAAAAAAAAAAAAAAAAGAAAAGTATTACCTATGAAAACAAGCCACTCACAAATCTCGGTGACTCAGGTGTACAGTGAAGTTTATACATTTTGTATGGGATACAGGGGAAAGTTTACTGTAATTCACAGTCATCTATTCCCACATGGTTTATTGTTTCACTGGATTTCAATTCTACACTACCTCTGTCTCAGGGTCTATACAAGGACTTGTTTTAAATGCAGGTGTTTTTAAAGAATTGTCAGTTGTATATGTGAAACAATTTGAAATTGAAGGAAATAGTAATAAAAAAATATAACCAGTTTTGTTGTTTTACAGTATAAACTGGTGTGTGTTCCACTGATGATTCTGACATTTTGCTTGTTAAATTGGGGTTATTAGATAACTCTTCCAGGGAGGTCATAGAATATAAAATAATGATTTCCTTTTTATTTCCCTTTCTGTGAGGGGAGGTCTTTGAGGATTTTCTTTTAATTACAGCTATAAGGAAGATATTTTTAAGATGGTGAACATGTTTAAAAAATAACATATCTGGGGATCTGTAGATTCTGACATTTTGCTTGTTAAATTGGGGTTATTAGATAACTCTTCCAGGGAGGTCATAGAATATAAAATAATGATTTCCTTTTTATTTCCCTTTCTGTGAGGGGAGGTCTTTGAGGATTTTCTTTTAATTACAGCTATAAGGAAGATATTTTTAAGATGGTGAACATGTTTAAAAAATAACATATCTGGGGATCTGTAGGGAAAAATAGCAGCTGGCTGCCAGATAAAACACTCAGTGTACAAACTAGGAATTTGAAGTAATTGTTACTTACTACAAGAATAGCAGCTGTGACAAGGACTTGAGGACATTGAGTATGGCATAAAAAGAGTTGAGGAGTTGACATATATGTGACAGTTGGGAGTAAATTTCCAGACCCCTTGCAATTACTGTTTTTTTCCTCTGATTCTATGAAGTCTATAATTCCAATTCTTGCTTGCAGCATTTAAAACAGCACCTCTCAAATTGTGATCTGAGGGCTGCTGGTGTTATTGAATGTCTGTCTACAAAACTCAATTAAACATTTGAAGAGAGCCTTACTAGATTTGTGGATTAAAAGCCAAGATGAGATATTGTCCTGTATATAGTGTATGTATGTTCATGCCTCATGTGATGCCACAGGTGCTGTGTGATCTATAACAATGATTCTGAGAATCAATAATGACACACTGATGTAAGAATTGTCATCTAGTAATCGAAAGACAATAGCCACAGGTTAATTCTTGAGGTGCATCCAGCTACAAAAGAGTAAAACGCATTTAAAAACTGGTTGAACATGGTATTTCCTATTCCTAAAGGAAAGTTTATTTCAGCTTGGTTTTCTTTCTGTTAAATTATGTTTTTCTACTATTTAAATGACGAAAATACTGACAGAGTCTTGAAAACTGAATTTCTTTCTCTTTTTAAAACACAACCAGTATAAACTTAAGGATAAGTTCCTAGCCCGTTGTGATAAGAAAGAAAGTGCTTCTGCTTAAACTAAAACCTAAACATTTAATACACCTACTGAATTGTGAACATTGGAATTTGAAGATTAATTCTGTCCTAAAGGCTTAGAGAATTTTTTTTTTCCCCTGTGATTCAAAAGCATTCAAATATCTAGCATATTGGTTTAGGCTGAAGAAATCACACTCAAATATATTATATATGAGCTATCTTATGTTGTTTCAAAGCAGGGAACATTATGCATGAAGACCCAGTTTGCTTTTTGTGATTTATATTTGTTTGTCAAAGCATTTTGAATATGTTTGCCTCCTCATACAAGGATTAACTACTTTATTACATTTCAGTTGAATGGCTTCTTGTAAAGCACTCATTTTATTTCTATATAATCAGTGAAAACATTACTTTGGTTTACATTGCTTCATAAAATTGCTCTGCATACTCTATAAAATGTACATTGGTTTGGAAGAATCAGTGTTTACATGAACTCCATATTAATACAAGATTTACTGTTTTCCTTGTGCATCGCTCTCTCTTAGTAGTCTTTATTTTCAAATGTTCATGCTGAGCTGAAATGTTTTGCTGTTCTAATTATAAATTAAACAAATGTAAAATTCCAAGATGCTAATTTGTTTCAATTTTACATGCTATTTTTAGTTAACTTAAATAATTTTCTTTTTCTTTTATTGTTGTGATCTGTTGTCTGTTTTGTCTGTTGCATGTCCAGGGCTCTAAGGTTAGTATTGCTGCTGTAAGTTTCATTTTTTGCATTTTCAAAAATATGTTATTTTTGATTATTTAATGATTTGGCTTTATTATTATTGTTATTATTTTCTTATCTCATATACTAGGATATGAATAGGAATATTTTGGATGTAATCAACTTTTCCTAACATGTTTCCCTTCACTAACTTAACGAGTTGTCAAGTATGGTGTTTACTTTTAGTTACTGGACTGAATGTAGACAGGTCTGTGAGCTAATTTAAGTTATAAGTGTGGTTGTCAACATAAAAACTCTTTAGGCTTCAAATATGTTAATTGTATGAGAGACTTATTACTGCTCTTAAGGTACACTTCATCATGAAATGATGATCAGTTCGCTCTTTAAAGAGTTTTTGAGCTACACCTCTCTAAAATATTGCTAATAGCATCAGAAATGGAGCTCATTATAAGCACTATTAGAATTTCAGTGTGCTGTATTTAACAGAGCTAATGGTAAGTTTGACTGTAAAAAATTGTCAGTCTCTTTTTTTTTTCTTTCATCCAACAATTTCAGGGAGATTTGAAAAGAGTTTTGTTTTTTTTTTTTTTTTCAACTCAAAGTTTGCAGAAGTCTTGGTAAAATGCACTAAAGTATTACATAAAATGAATTCATTACATAAATTGCAAAACAACAACAAAAAGAAACCCAGTTATTTTGAGAAGGTTTAAGGCTGTGATTGATGCAACACAGTTGAAGCTTGAGAAAAATCAACAGCCGGCAGCGAATTGGCTGCTAGCAAGCCTGGTGTTATTTCAAGCAGCATGAGTTCAAAGGTCAATCTTCTATAATCACCTGTGAGTTTTTCTAGCAGACTGCTAGAGCTATAGATTCTTGCAAATATATTTTCTTTGGATGAGTGCTTTCAAACATGATGTTCCAGTCTGTTACAAAAAACTAGCAACTTATTTTTCCAAAAAGTAGGAACACGGCACACACTAAGCCAGGGAGACCTGGCTAAAGAAGATAGACTGGAAATTGTTCTTCTGAGAGTTGTCATTTTACCATTTTTTCTGATATTATTGGGCAGATCAGAGAGATGACAGCCCTTTCCAAGTCACTCATATAACTGACATGTTACATCCTTAAGAGAAATTAAATGAAGTGGTATCTATCATTGTGGTGACACATGCCACCTTATATCCTTCATCTTTCAGTTGTTTCCTTAATACTGCTTGGCAGAGTTTGCACTTTCATAATTTTGGATCTAAAATATTTTAAAGAGTGCCTTATGAGTGTGGATACTAACTTTTTAGAAGAATGGAAATGAAGGACCTTTCATTTTTATGTACTACTTTTGCTTTGGAAAAGAAGAGCCTTAACGGCACAAAATATATTTGAATTTTTTTATAGTTTCTTCAAAACAAATGAATAAAAATAAACACAGTAAAATTAATACTTTTCAAAGGGACTGAACTCTGTGTTCAAAAAAAGCCCTGCAATCTGAAGTCTTGTTGACAAGCAGTAAGAATCAACCATCTGTAAACAATATTTTAAATAGTATTTAGGCATATAAATGTGGAAGCAGTCAAGTACTAAGCCCCATTTTCAACTCTGCCTGGCTCCAGAGTTAAGGCCACTTAAACAGATATTTATTGTTTTAATTAGACTTACTGTTTGCCCACTTATCTGCAACGTTAGACACTTTAATGCATTTCAAAACATGGGTCTGGACATCTAAATATCCTTTTTGAATAAAACATGGCACATTTTCAGATTTTAGAAATATTTGCTTCGTTCAGCATTTTTCTGTGGATTCCCATTAAGGAGAGTCCAACACTACATTAGGAAAGAAGTGGCCATCCTCTGGGAAACGTGAGCGACTCACTGTAGAACCAGTTACACTTTTAATTCCCTCCTGTTGCTGTTGTAAGGGAGTAAATGATCTCTTCTGATCTCCAGAATTGGATGTTGTCAGGCTCCTATACAGGCATGGTATAAGCATTCCCAGGGAGAATCAATTCATTGAAACAGAGCAAAGCTGCCTGGGTTTTCCTACTCCACTCCTCACATTTCCTTGTTTATCTAAAGGAAACTAAAAGCTATACAGACAGCAATTACTTTTATCTGTTGCCTGTCACTTTGCTTAGCCTATGAAGAATGTAGGAGTAGATTGCACCCTTAAACAGTGTGCACTGTTTTACTATCTGGCCACACTTTCTCTTTATGTAATTGTTAATAACTTTTGCATTTAGATTAAAGTCTTTCTCATCTACTAGAGCATGCAAATAATTTTCTCACTTTTCGTGCTGTCTTACTTTTGAATTTCACTCACAGTTTATGTTAATGGTAATAGATTTTAAAATAAATTTCAATGTCTTTGTCATGAAGCATAACAATTTAGATTTGTATGTGTATGCGCTGTCTTTATATGTCAGTTGTGTTCCAACTGTTTAATTAAATTATCTTCTTTTAAAGACTGAATTGGAAAATATTGAAGTGACACAAGGGATGTCAGCAGAGACAGCAGTAACTTTTCTCAGCCGTCTAATGGCAATGGTTGATGTGCTAGTATTTGCCAGTTCTCTAAATTTTAGTGAGATTGAAGCTGAAAAAAACATGTCTTCTGGAGGTCTAATGCGACAGTGCCTAAGGCTTGGTAAGTCATCAGTATGTATTAAGTAATTACTTACAGATCAATGAGCTACAGATGGATCAAATACTAACATATGTAGGCAAGGACTTATACTGACTGACTATGATGTGATGAAATCCCATTTATTATTGATTTGATACAGTTTTTAAGGTTTATTCAGTTTAGGCACAAGAATAAGTTAAAATGACATGTCTGATATTATTCTTTCTTGCATATTTCAAGTTGTATAAATTTAATAGGGGTAAAAATATTAACTATAAGTAAGTAAACGGAGAAATTTTGTTTCTCAAAACTCCCTTGTACCTGCATTTTGCAAGTTTCTTTATCCAAGTCTCCATGGATTTGAAAGACTAGTTATAAGCTATGTCAGATTAAAAGCATGTGCAGACTGTGGACATTAATATATGTTGCAATAGTCTGGCACCTCTCTTCACTACTTACACTGCCATTAGAATTAATTTAGGAAAATTGAAAATGTATTAATAGTTCAAACTATTCTATGCAAACTATATCACTTTATCCTTGTGAAAATTAAATTTTGTCTGCCATTTGGCATATTGCTCTTCTGCTAATCTTATGTTCAACGTGCTTTTAAACTCTCAAATTATGAATAATTTTTGTACTATGTTGCACTTACTGTTTGGAAGTGGTTATTGACATATCTAACTAGACGTACAGACTGCTAGTTTATATTCTGAACATAACAATGGGAAAACATTCTGATTTATAGCATTTTAATAACTTTGTTTTAGTTTGTTGTGTGGCTGTGAGAAACTGCTTAGAATGTCGGCAAAGGCAGAGAGAGAAAGTGAACAAGACATCCCTAATCGGCAGTAAAGCCCAAGATGCTCTTCAGGGTGTAACTGCATCAGCAGCAACCAAGGTAACCCAGTCTTCAGTTTCCAACAGCAATGACAAGTCTGTACCACTGCTTGGTAGGATCAGAAAATAATTTTAACTGCCTTCTCAAATATTTGGCAGAAGCTTAAGCTTTTGCTATTAACTGGTTTAAGGTAAAAGTCTGTGAGGGCATTTAGTTGAAACCTAAAAGGTTAATGCAGTAGCGTGGCTGGAGCAATTTTAAACATCTTTTCCCCTCTTGTTTGGGCTACTTCAAAGAGCAAGTCCCATAACACTTCTGTCATATATACCTACATAGCTTTTTTTAATCTGTCAGGGCACTTGCAGTTTTTATGACATCCTGCAATCACATCTTTGTTGGTGGAATATCTGAATCCTGGTAAATTCAACTTTGCAGGCATATTAGGCATCAGTTGTTTCTATCTGATTTTAGGTATTAAATTTGTTTAGAATTCAATTACTGTTTATTTTTTCCACTTTCTTTAATTCGTTGTTCATCTCTTTTTTTAAACTTGTTTACATCTTTAGACTTTCATTCTTGAAACCAAAATGTCAAAGTTTAGCACAGCCCATGAATAAAATACAACACTTCATATGATCTCAGTGATTCCTTTTTTTTTTTGCTATCATATTTTTATTACGAAATTCAGTGGCCTTTCTTCTCAAAATAGTTTTTCAGATAGCATTTACACACTCGGCTCTTTCACAGTATTATTTCATTAAATCTCATGAAAACATTACATTTCTCCACTTATCACATTCAGTGTAAAGCAAATAAATAGAAGAGACTTTTAGGTGTTTAGGCTTTATTTGTAATGCATTATAATTTTTTAAAGGAAGCATACTACTCTATGATTTTCTAAGACTAGAAGTTATTCTATAAGCAGTCTCTAATAATTCTCAGTAAGATGAACCTAAATTGTTTTTAAAAAATATGTCTGCTCATATTTTTTAAATTTAACACACATATTAGGAATAATTTATTGTACTGCTATGAAACAACTGTAATTCAAATAATCTTTTGTGTGCAAATTATCTTAATAATTATGGTTGTTATTTTTATCTGTGGGAGGAGATACAATTTTTCTGAGGTACTGGAAAGATGTAACAATTTATATCTAGATAGTTAGTAATAAGACAACAATCCAAAACAGTGCTTTATTTCTAGAACCCTTGTCTGAGTATTATGTTGGAAGTATATTGGTAGTAAAAAAGCATCTAAGATTGACGCAATATATTAAAAAAAAAGTTCCTAAAATAAATGCTTTGGAGGGTGGAAAAATCTCAATGCTTTTTGCTTTTAGACTCCCCTTGAAAATGTCCCTGGCAACCTTTCTCCTATAAAAGACCCCGATAGGCTTCTTCAGGATGTTGATATTAATCGTCTACGAGCAGTGGTTTTTCGTGATGTGGTGAGTAATATGTGGTGTTCTTTCTTCGGCAAAATCTTCACTTGTGTTTTTATTGTACCAGAATTAAAAATATCCTTCATATGTTGCACTTTGTATATTACCTGCAAACCATCTGCCCGTGGCTTTGTAACTACCAGCCGCTTTCTGCACTATGAAATCACACTGGTAAGCTACTTGAGATTAGGAGCTAACTGTGTTTAATGGTCAGACTTGATTAGCCAAGTAATCACAGCCAGAATAAATCAGTTATGACCTATGCTGATGAAAACTGTATTACTAAAGGTGTCAGCTTTGTCCAATCAGGGTAGGAGAAAGAATTAGTATATGTATTACAGAACTGCAGCAAATGGATATATAACAACAATTTAGTTCTTATAAACATATGTAGAGATATACTGTATATAAATATATATTAAAATGGTTTTCAGATTTGTTTGCAACTGCTTTTAGCATAAAACTGCACCATAATGTGGGAGGGTTTTTTGCAATTAGTACAATAGGAATTGTTATTATATGTATGCCAATAGATATCTTATGTTTAGTTCTCCAACCTATGTTTGAGTGGATGGAAGTGAAGACTGAAGTTAGAAATAGCTTTAAAAAGAAGGAAGTAGAATTTGACACAAAAAAAAATAATTTTCTGTCAGGATTACCTGATCATCTTGAAAGAGCAAGATGGAATTTGGGTGGAGATTTTCTGTCACTTACTTTTTTTCTAGATGAGGAAGGAATAATAGGGGTAATATTGTTTCTGGCATTTATGTGAAAGAACTGAATTTGTAGTTATTTAAAGAATTGCAAAGGCATGCAGCCAATTGAATAACACCCAGAAAACATGGAAAGCAAACACTGTATTTGTAATAGAAAATCCATACTTGCAGAATTCAGAGAAGGTGAAGATGCTATAGGAATAGAGAGAGGCTAGATAGAGTCTCATCCCTGGAACTACAAAAGTCTATTGCCCTTGCTGTTGGGAAGCCTTGAAAGCACTCTCAGAGTAGAGTCAGGCCTCTGTTCTGTAAAGCCCATTGATGTCACAGTCCCAGAGATTTGGGTAGTTGCCAAATTACCTGTAAAATTCAGTATTTAATACATGCTGTGTTCGTAGTGTTCCACTGAAAATCCATTAAATCTATGCAATCCATTTGCTGTTATGCTAACAGAAACATTTCAGAAAGGTGTTATTTATTAAGACTTGTGATGATCTTGTGTGAAAATTCTATGGAAATGTCCAACATTATAGATCTGTTCCTTTTTCTCCAATACAGGATGACAGCAAACAGGCTCAGTTCTTAGCTTTGGCAGTAGTCTACTTTATTTCTGTTCTGATGGTCTCCAAATACCGTGATATCCTAGAGCCACAACGAGAAACTGCAAGGTCTGGGAGCCAGGCAGGTAGAAATATCAGACAGGAAATAAATTCACCAACAAGTACAGGTACATTTGTTTTCTTCAAATTTTATTTGAATTTTTTTGGGACTGTAATTATTTTACTACAAAGTATTTTTAGTGAATAGCTTAGGATCCTAATAGGAAATCGCTTGTTACTTTCTTCCTCTATAATCATTAATTTCTTTAATGTACATTGGCAGATTTCAGTTTTTCTGTATATTTGCTTATAGTGTACAACCAATTTTCATTTGCATGTTTCTTTTTTTATGCCTCTTTTTCTTTAATTTGAAAATAATTAGGAAGAAACGGTGCTTGATGGTGTAAAGCTGCAAAGTACGTGATAGTTGATTAACACAACTTCCTCATTCTGTTATTTGTTAGGGAGAACAGGTATTTTTAACTCTTAGCTATGTATCAATGGCAAACAGAGCTGTTTGCCCATGTGAACTCTTTTGAGTGACAAGATTTATGAAAGGGTAGTGGTGGAGGACTTGAGGACTTTCATGGAGTCCTGTTGTGTTGGTGCCTGCATTTAAAAGTCTATGGAAACAATATAATAAAAAGGAAGTATTTCTGTTGCCTTCTTTGACTGAATTGTTAGTGATTTTTAGTAGTAGTAGTGGGTGTTATAGCATGTGTTGTTTAGCCTGAGAGGGGGGAGTCTGTTATCTGTCAGAACCTGTCATAAATTAGGGATCCAATTTTACCCCACTTTGTTTCAAATATTTTACACTGTGAGTTCAGTAGGTTTTTTCGAGTCAGATTGGATTGATTCTAACTGTACCTTCTGTGTTAAGAGCTGAAAACAGTAACTGAACTTGTCCATGAAGCTCTTTATGTATGTTTTTCTTCTTGTATTGATTTTGAGTTACTTTCTTCATTTATGGAGTTGCTAATTTTCATTCTTCATAGAATTTATCTTCCAGTTCCTGTCATGCTTACATTTACTCATTATTTTCTGATTCATCATGATGTTTTAATTTACTACGTATACACAATTTTTTAAGTCCGTGTGCTTGTATGCTTTCAATTTTAAATATACTACATGAACATAATCAGTTAGGATAAAACTTTTTTTATTTTGTGACTTCCTGAGTATATGTTATGATTCTGCACTAAGAAACTGCTAGTTTCACTGAACTATCCATCCATGATTGTCTTGCCTGTGTGCATGTGTGTATATGTATCTACCTGTGTCTCTTTTTCCCTGTGAGTGTTGCTCTTGAAGTGCCCAAATAATACTGTTTCCTATCTCTTGATACAGAACTTGTTTTCTTTCTTTAGAAATGCATTTTTTTGTTGATAATGCCATATTTGCATGTTTCAATGAGATAGGGTATCTGTCATGGATCCACAGTGGACCAGGCCACACATGAATACAAGCCGGCTCACATTTGATTCCATGATTTTCTCCACAGTTGTGGTCATACCATCTATCCCTCACCCAAGTTTGAACCATGGATTCCTTGCCAAGTTAATTCCTGAGCAGAGCTTTGCCCACTCATTTTACAAAGGTAATATTAACATCATCTCCTAACCTGTTTGGGTGTTCTTATTTAATGTAATGTAATTCAAGAACTAACTGTGATGTAATTGCTGATAAATAAGTATACGCCTCAGGTTACATGGAGATCAGACCTGATGATACCTTTAAAACTTTAACTTCCTGCCTACATTTCTCTAGGAAATCTCTTTCCCACTTTGACTACCATTTATTAACTTCACTTACTATGAAATAATAAAAAATAATTTTTAAAAGCAGTCAGGAGGAGGGAATGGATGTCGAAAATTTTAAATGCTTTTAGTTTATGGTTATTCTGCTACAATATTAAGTCCATAAAAATTAAATCAGACCTATTTTAAAGTTATTGCATACCACACAAAATATGTAATACTTCTGCAGTGTTCCCTTTCCCCGTATCTTTTCCTGTTCTTTTGCCTTCTTTTCTTGCTTTTTTCTTGCTTTCTTGATGGTATGTAAAGCCCTGATATTGTATGTATTGTGAATTATTTTATGCTTGTTAGTTAATGTGCTGTGCTTTTTTTGAAGGAAACTGCTTTTGTGACCAGAGCAACAATTACATGTTTTGGGCCTGATTTGTTTTGTTTGTTTGTTTGTTTGTTCTAATAGATGCTATGTGATGTAGGGAATATGTTCTTCAGATGCCATGACTTGAAAAAGAGAGGGTTACCTAAATGTAACTTTAGCCAAGTTTGCACATACATTTCCCCATTTACTTCCATGCACTGTGCTATGAATACAGAGATGTAAAAAAGGTGAAAAAATTAATTTGATGAAAAAGCTCTTGATATAATTTTGAAAAGTCTCAATGGGTAAAAAGAGTCATTTATTAAAAGCCAAAGATATTTTAAATAGTGTCCAGTTTATGGAGAAAAGAAATAGTGAAGGTTCTACATCAGTAATATGCAATTTAAGTTTATCATATGCTGTTCTGGGAGCATTATGTTAAAATACTCATTACATCAGCTTAAACTATCACTATGTTAATTTAGCAGTTCTTAAGCTTTGGTGTGCACATGCATGTATAAATTGTTTTAAATTCTATCAACTAGTAAGCAAGAGTTTGTGACTGATTAATAAGACTATTGTCTGCCATACAAAGGAAAAAAATTATTTTGATAATTGATTTGACAATTGATTTGCTGATATAATATTCTTTGTTGTGATGTAGTTGCATTTGTATGATGTCATCCATCACTGATAAAAAGAAAAGGGATCATTTGCTCTTAGTTCCATGGAGTACTCAGTACAATTTGTTACTGTAGGATAACCCCCTAAAACTTCATTAAGTTTTGCTTTCTCTTTTTATTTTTTTTTCTTATTTTTTGTTTTCTGTGTACCAGATAGGCATAGGATATTTTATTCTTAACCACCTCTGCTTGAATATTGGGATTGGTTAGACTGCCTCAAAACACAGTTATTTAAAACATTTTAATTTTTATTAAATTTAATGCAATAAACTATGAAACATGTATGAGATTGTGTTGCTATTTGTACAAAGTTTGACATTTGATATAATGGGTGGCAAAAAGAGGGAAAAAAACAACTAGTTTTTCTTCTTATCCATATATATATAACACAAAAGCAGAAAAAAGTTTAAGAAAAATGGAAGCAGTCATACAAATGCATGAAAATATTTCAGATAAAGCATTTTTTATGAATTGTGCCTTCTATGCTATTGTCTATACTACTAGTTCAAGTAAAATATAGGTTTGTTTTTAAAATAGTTCATTAGAGCTATAATAAAGGATTCAATAGTGTTTTGGCTTTGGAAACAAATTACTCAATAAAGGAAAGTCTATCTATAGCTAGTTATTTTATTTGTTGATATCATCACCACCTTCATGGTTTTAACTCTGTGAGGTCTCAGCCTCTTCACCCATTAGAGAAAAAACATGTTTCTGCTTTTAATATTGTGAACCTAGTTCCTCAATCTTGAACAATGTTAGCAGGAATTGAAATGAAAAAGGAATGTCAACACTGTCAGAAAAGGCTAGAAATCAAAATCTTTTCTGTCATTTCAAGAGTCTTTGTTTCAGTGGCTAAGCCAATTGGTTTCCTGTTAGTAGTCTGACATCCTTTCAGATGTAGCAGCATGCATGTAATATTGAATATTATTTAAAATTTTAAGGTATTTTAACATAGAGTGGTTTAATGTCACATTTTAAAAGTAAATACATATTTTTTAGCCTAAATCCTATTAATTAAAAAATAGATAAAAATTCTGCTGTTACATGGCAATAAAGTCTCTATATTTTATTAATTCCACATGACACTAAATGGATGTAAAAATCCATTCTTTGTCAGTCCAATTCAATAGAGCAAATTGTATCATTATTGTTAGAACTGTACAAGACTTCTTTTGGACACATCTCTGTTATCAATTAAGTGACAGGGACTGTTTGCTTAAAACAAATCCATTTTTTAGGAGATGAAATCTGATTGTCTGACCAGGAAACTTGTCAGGGGAAAGGTAAGATAGGAGTGGGTATATTATGGCTATTTAAGTAAGAAACTGATTTTGTTCTTAGTGATGCTTTTTTTTTTTCCTGTACATGGGGGAATATCTTTAGTTAAAATATATTTAAGGCTGTGCAAGACCATACTTGTTTCAGACACATTACAGTGTATGGTTGGTGTATGCTTTTTGAGTAACTACAGCAGGTGTCAAGTGCAGGGTAAGAATTTTGAACATCATTATACTTGTTAAGAAACTTTTCAGTTTGCATCATATAAAATGTTGACCTTTGCCTAGGTTATTAATGATATTATGTATGAATAAAATGTATTACCAAAATAAGAGGCTTTAAAATATCCTTTTCAGGGAACTATAGTCTATCTTTACTTACAAATGTTTGTAGGTGGTAAAATAAGGATGTAATGTTTCTTTTACTATTAACAAATATTGTTCACAAGCTTACTTTATCTTACAGTGCTTAAAGGTGAAAGAACACACCCAGGAAGGAAAAAATAAACCACTGGTGTCCATGACTATCTTTTAACAATAAAAATATTTCTTTCTCAGTAATGTTTTATGCTTCTGTACTTACTTTTCTTTCTAAGCTGATCAGTGGGCAGGAGAAAAATGTGTCTTTATCTGTAGATTTACCCTTTGCCATAAGTTTGTTGTAAGTGCTTAGATTTCACCTGCTAGTTTCTGATAATTTGAAAGGGTCTGCAGTACTTCTAAAATAGTCTGAGCTTAGGCAGGCAAAGCAAAACTTGCAAAATGAAAAGAAAGCTCACTATCTTTTCATTTTAGTCACATATAGTATAACTCTTTGGAGTAATTTATTATCACAGTCTCAAGGAAAATAGCAGCCCAGAACTACAGTCTTGCACCTAAAGGTTATTTGAAAAACACAGTTCTACAAAAGTAAATGTTGCCAGTCTTGTTTCTGTCTGTCCACAGTACTAAAGAATTAGAATGAGTTACTTTGGGGATGTCAGGTGGTTCAATTTCTCTGCATTTGTGAAGATTTCAAAATGGAAACTTTAAACCAAGAATAATTTAAACACAAGA